AGAGAGAGAGAGAGAGAGAGAGAGAGAGAGAGAGAGAGACTGAAATCGGTGTTGTGTCGAGGACAAAGGCTTATTCACGATTTTTTTACCTCTGGAGGATAAAATTATTTAAGTACCTCTTAACTCGTAACCTCTTATCTTATCTTATATTAGTATTGCATATTATTTTCTCAAGCAAATGTCTGTGTCCGTCCGTATGGTTCTTGCCTACTTTTTGTATTCCGGACCTGTGGTGGTTTCAGCGGGCTACAGATTGCTCATACTTCTTTACTGTTGCTCGGTCATTTCCGATTGTACTCATACCCCCCCCCCCCCACACACGCAAACACACTCCACCTTCCCTCTTAGAAAGTACTTAATGATCTTAACCATTTTCTGTGACTCATGGGTGGTTTGTAGGTGCTCTGTTGTGGTTTCCACCTTCTTTCCTATGAAACATCTATCGTCCTGATCTTTCCTTCTCCTTTTCTGTGTTTGTTCCTCTCTAGTAACACCTCTTATATGACATTATTGTATTGCAAGTGCCGTAAAACTCTTTCAAAAACCCCCATCTCTCCTAGTGGCGTCGGTGACCTAGTGGTTAGGCTATCGGACTCGTAATCGTGAGAGTGCGGGTTCGGGGGTTCGAGCCTCAGCTCGGTCCGTCGCTGTGTCCGAGGGAAAGGCACGGTACTTTACACGAATTTCCCACTTGCCTCTGTCCTTTCGGAGATGGACGTTAAACTCGGAGGTCCCGCCTCTTAAATAACCTAAAAATGTTGACAGGGGCATTAAACCTATACCGGTGGGTGGTTGACGGGTGCTCTGGCGTGGTTTGCTCCTTCTTTCCTATCAAACATCTATCGTGTTTGTCTCCTCTCCGTCTTTTTTTGTGTGTTACTCCCTTGTAACACCTCTAATCTTCGGCACTTATATGACCTTGTTATGTTGCAAGTGCCGTAAAACGCTTACGAACCCCCCCCCCCAAAAACAACAACAAAAAAACAAACAAACAAACAACAACAAACAAACAAAAAAAAACAAAACAAAAAAACCCCTACACCATTTCACCATTTATTTTCACCCTCTCTCCTCAGCTACTATGGGTCCTCATGTCGTCCACCATCCTGGGATTGCTGATGCAGAGGCTGTCAGCGCGTCTGGGCGTTGTCACGGGCAACCATCTGGCGGAAGTGTGCTTCAAGCAGTACCGGAAGGCGCCGCGGCTCCTGCTATGGCTTATGGTGGAGATCGCCATCATTGGCTCAGACATGCAGGAAGTCATCGGCACGGCTATAGCCTTCTATTTGCTCTCTGACGGAAAGTACGTTGTGCACCTCATGTGTTCCTTTCCAAATCAGTGTCCGTTCATTCAGTTCTGTGAGAAAGACAACGAGTGTACATCTTTTTAATGCCTAACCGACGTCTTCTGTAATAATGATTGGCGGGTGCTCTGGTGTGGTTTGCTCCTTCTTCTTTCCTATCAAACATGTGTCGTCATTATCTCTCCTCTTTCATTTTCTGTCTCTTGTAACACCTATAATCTTCGGCACTTATATGACCTTCTTGTGTTGCAATTGACGTAAAACACTTACCAAAAGAAAAACACTATGTTTATTTTTATATTGAACTTCTTTGCTTGCAATTGTGATTCTAGCGTTTGTTTAATGTTATTTCTGTGTGTGTCCAGGATACCGCTGTATGCAGGAGTCATCATCACTGTGGCCGACACCTTCACTTTCCTGTTGCTGGATCGCTATGGTCTCCGGAAACTGGAAGCTTTCTTTGCTTTCCTCATCACAGTCATGGCCATTATGTTTGGATATGAGGTAATAATAATAATAATGATGATAATAATAATGATAATAATAATAATAATAATAATAATAATAATAATAATAATAATAATAACAACAACAACGACAACAATAATACTAATAAAAATAATGATAATGATAATACTTATAATAGTAATAATAATAATGATACTACTACTACTACTACTACTACTACTACTACTACTACTACTACTACTACTACTACTACTACTACTACTACTACTACTACTACTACTACTACTACTACTACTACCACTACTACCACTACTACTACTACTACTACTACTACTACTACTACTACTACTACTACTACTACTACTACTACTACTACTACTACTACTACTACTAATGATAATAATAATAATAATGAGGATAATGATAATAATAATAAAAATAATGATAATAATAACAGTTGATCCTGCACTAACGGCCACCGGTATAAGATAATAAACTGTAGAAAAGGCCACTTCCCCTATCTCCCTCGTGTATTGTTGAAAATATTAAAATGACTCACACACACACACACACACACACACACACACACACACACACACACACACACACACACACACTCTCTCTCTCTCTCTCTCTCTCTTTCTCTCTCTCTCTATTTTTTTTTCATTCACACAAACACACACACATACACACATACGCACACACACATACACACACACAAACACGCACCCACACCCACACACCCACACCCACTCCTTTTTGTGTTTGTTACTCTCTTGTAACACCTAATCTTCGGCGGCACTTATATGACCTTATTGTGTTGCAAGCGCCGTAAAACTCTTACTAAAACTAACAACGAAACTTTAAATTGTGTTGCAAGAGCCGTAAAACTCTTACTAAAACAAATCTTAACTTTAAATAGTGTTGTAAGAGACGTAAAACTGGAATGTCCTCAGTACGTGGTGGTGGCCCCGAACCAGGCAGAGGTCGTGAAAGGACTGTTCATCCCGTACTGTGAGGGCTGTGGATCTGATGAACTCATGCAGGCTGTGGGGATCATTGGTGCTGTGATCATGCCTCATAACATCTACCTGCACTCGGCATTGGTAAAGGTAAAGAAATACACTGTGTTATTGTTTTTGCTTTATATCATCATCATCATCATCATCATCATCATCATCATCATCATCATCATCATCATCATCCTCATCCTCATCATCATCATCATCATCATCATCCAGTGATCAGTGAGACATCGGCGATCGTGGTTCTCCTTCCATTCCTTTGCTCGGATGCTCTAAAAAAAACTACGAGCGTTTCCCTGATCCTTCTTTTACAGAAACTGATCAAAAGGCAAAAACTTTACCTTCGATTTTCTCTAAACAGCATTTTTCGGGATAGCCCCCTTGTGCTTAAAAACAACCATATTGTTTTGACTTTCGATGTGATAAGAGAGAACAGAGAAAATGCGTAATAAACCGTATCACCCATTCATGTGTTAACGAACACCTAGAGTGCTCATGTAACAGCTGCCGGTAGTTGAAAGAAAGGCCTGCGTGCAGGGAACACAGCTGATCATAGTTATTAATGTTGGGGCATAATGTGTAATTTGAGAAATCGTTGTTGTGGTGGTTTTTATGTTTGTAAATAATGCGTTATTGCTGCACACGTGGAAAAGAAAAGAAGAGAGAGAGAAGGGAGAGAGAGAGAGAGAGAGAGAGAGAGAGAGAGAGAGAGAGAGAGAGAGAGGGAGAGAGAGAGAGAGGGACAAAGAGAAAGACAAAGATAAAGAAGAGGGGAGTGGGTGAGGAATGAAGGAGAAGGAAAGGAAATAATATACTCTACTCCTGTTGTATTGGTGTATTATTTCTTTTATTTTTATTATTTTTAAAGATATATTTTCATTATTAATATTGTTATTGTTATTGTTATTATCATTATTATTATTATTATTATTATTATTATTATTATTATTATTATTATTATTATTATTATTATTATTATTATTATTATTATTATAGTTATAGTTATTATTATTAGTATTGTATTATAGTATCATCATCATCATCATCATCATCATCATCATCATCATCATCATCATCATCATCATCATCATCATCATCATCATCATCATCATCATCATCATCATCATCATCATACTATTATTCTCAAAGAGTAATGGCTTCCCCTTTTGTCACTTGCTTAGTCTCGAGAAGTTGACCGCTCCAAGCGTGGGGAGATTCGGGAAGCCAACAAATACTTCTTCGTGGAGGCCAGCATCGCCCTCTTCGTCTCCTTCATCATCAACGTGTTCGTCGTCTCGGTGTTCGCCGAGGGATTCTACGGGAAAGAGGCCGGACAAGTTGTGAGTAATAATAATAATAATAATAATAATAATAATAATATAATATAATATAACATAATATAATACAATATAATAAAAATAATGATAATAATAATAATAATATAATATAATAATAATAATATAATAATAATAATATAATAATAATATAATAATAATAATAATAATAATAATAATAATAATAATAATAATAATAATAATAATAATAATAATAATGGTTTGCATTTATAAAGCGCATATCCACTTATGCAATGCTCTCCGAGCTTAACATGATACATATTATGGAATTACAAATCAATTTTATAGGCACATAGTATTACATACGCGTGCACACACATACTGGCGCACACACGCACGCCCCCCCCCCCCCCCACACACATACACACATATGTATACACACATACACGCATACGTACATATTTACCTTCGATTTTCTCACAAAAGCATTTTTCGGGATAGCTCCCTTGTGCTTAAAAGCGACCATATTATTTCCTATAGACGTTATGAACTACTTTATTTCCTTTATAATATGTGTGTAGTTAGATAGCACTGCAGGTCGGTTCTTCGTCTTTTCTTTCCTTCTTGTGCTTCTGTCCGTCCGTCTTGTTTTTTTTCTTTTTCTTTCCCTCTCTTGCTTCTGTCTGTCCGTCTTGTTTTCCGCCCAAGTCAACATTGCCGCAGAGGCTCCTACAGACAATACCACTCAGCAAAACCTTCGACGTCCGAGCACAGCTGTGCCTGTTGCAACGACAAGAAGGAAATCGATTGACTTTTGGTTGTGCCAGGTCACACCTGTGATCGTTAACCCCTTGAGAACCCACATTCTTGGATATTCGACAACACTCAACCCTATCCGTACACCATGGGGTCATTTTGTACCCCATGGGTTGTATTCTTCACATTTTAGAATACTTTTAGGGCGAAGATCTCTTTGAAACGTTCAGTATTTCTCAAAAGATATTTTTGACAAACTGCTATGCAAGGCGTACGGATCGGTTTAATGAGTAAATTTCCTATTTGGAAAGTAGTTCCCCACTTCGTATGGATACGATAGTAAAACACGACGTACGAATAGGGTTACAGTAGGAACGCCATATTATGAAAATACCATCATTACTTCGTTATTCACTGGGGTTTTTCAAATATGTTTCCTTGACCTTTTAAGTGAACAACATACACACTATGTGGGTGGTTGGCGGGTGCTCTGGTGTGGTTTGCTCCTTCTTTCCTATCAAATATCTATGGTCCTGATCTCTCCTCCTTCTTTTTTATGTGTGTTACTCTCTTGTAACACCTCTAATCTTCTGGCGCTCCTATGACCTTATGCAGTTGCGAGCGCCGTAAAACTCTTACTAAAACTAAAACAACATGCATACTATGACATAATATACAAATCTATGTTTTTGACTCATGTCTGACGGTTCTAAATGTGTCGCAACAATACCTTTGGCTTTTTCTGCTGATCGTACGTAATACAAATGTACTGTGTACTCTCCGGCCGTAAAGAACTAGAGATTACGCAGGCAGATTTACTTCTGGCTATATTGGAGTGTCTATAGTTGTTCATCTCTTTCCTAAAATAGAATGATGTATACAGTTCCTAAGTAATACTATATAATTCATTTTCGGTTTATCGGTAAAACTCTGTGACCTAAGATAATTACAGTTGTATTTTCCCATGTTATTGGGGATCCAGAGTCATAGTAGTTTGTTTATTGGGAGTGTTTTATGTCCGATCGACTCTATTTTGGGTAAGATAAGATAATATAATTATAATAATAATGAAGATCATTTCTATAGCGCCCACTTCCGTGTAAATCCAGCTCTAGGCTCTTTACATAAAAAGATAAGAAAAGATAGATAACATAAGATGTGATAACATAACATAGGCTGAGATAAAATAATCTAAGCTAAGGTCCTATGAGATAAAATCAGAACAGAAGCAGCCACTCTGTTGACTCTGTGGAAAATTTCTCGTGGCTGTACAGGAATGGTGAACACAATTATTGACTGAATTTAGATAGCTAAGAGGGAGGCTGTTCCAGCCCTGACCTGTCAGTGGGTGGTTGGCAGGTGCTCTGGTGTGGTTTACTCCTCGTTTGGTACTCTCTTGTAACACTTCTTATCTTCGGCACTTACATGACCTTATTGTGTTGCAAATGCAGTAAAAACTCTTACTAAAAATAAACTGACCTGTCTGATCGAACTCTGGCTCAGCGAGATATCACAGGCCATTACAAAGACAGACGTACGGAATAATACAGTCGCTTTCACGCACAAGGGGCTATGCCGAAAAATGCTGTTCTAAGAAAATTGAAAGTAAAGTTTTAGCCCCTTGTTCAGTTTATCTAAAAAACAAGGATAGGTTTCTCTATAACCAAATAAATATACACACAAATGAAACCAAACGTCTCCTATAGGTAGGGCAATGTCCACCTTTGGTGTATGTCAAGATTTCTTGAAACCCCCGAAATCCGGGTTAGCCAGCTTGTCCTGAAAAGCGATCAAATACAATATGTAGTAGCAGCACACGAGAATCGATCATACATGGCATGTGTGCGACGAGGGAATCCCTGACCGTAACACAAGAGGCGTGGCTGCTGTTGGCGTGACTGGGCAAAGAGTGCACACCGGCGCACAAACAAGGGGGCTCTCGTGGTCGAGAGGTTACGGTGTTCGCCTCTCATTCAATATGTCCCGGATTCGAATCCAGACAGCAACGGAAAAATATTCTTCTCTAACATGTTCTCCTTTCACCTACTTTCCTGCTCTATAACTTAGCAATGTTTTGTCGTCTGCTTTTGTCTCCACATTGTGCCCCCACCCCCTTCACCTCCTTTGCCCTCTCCTCTGGGCTCCAAATGATCTCCCAAACCCTCAGATTGGTATGAAATAACCTTGCTTTGATAATTTGATGGTTTTTATTTCAGCATTCTAGGGTTAAACAGTATAATGATGATGATGGGTGTCTCGCGAAAATGGTCTTCTGTAGCGATCACGAGGAAAGTTCCTCCTTTTTAAAAATAGAAATTCTGAGTTGAGACCCATGGTTACTAAGACCATGTCGTCAGAAACCAAATCCTCTTTCTGCTCTATCAAATTAATAATAATAGATATCATTTTTATAGCGCATATCCCCGCTCAACAGCAGGCTCTATGCGCTTTACACTATGTTATTACCCCAGCAGACCATAGAACACTCCGAAACATTCTCAGCTTCCCGGGAAGCATACAGTGCAAGCAGCCGATTAAGCGCTCAAACACTAACAAACTGACAAGATCTTTCGCTGTCTATAGCCGGGTACCCATTCCCACCTGGGTGAAGTGAGGAAAATTCGTGTAAAGTGCCTTTCCCAAGGACACAACGTCGGGTCCCTGACGGGATTCGAACGCACGGGTCCAAGAGCCTAACCAATAGGTGTGGTTATCGAGATATTCAAAGAATTGGATTCGAAAAAGCTTGACATGTCGTGAAACTCAAAATCTTTGACGTCACATTTCTCAAAACTTGGTACTGAGAAGATAGAACTTTAATAGTAATTCTATGGTAGCGATTTGTCTCCAAACTGAGCCAAATGTTGCGTTCCAAAGTGAAGAGTGGGTGGTTGACGGGTGCTCTGGTGTGGTTTGCTCCTTTTTTCCTGTCAAACATCTATTATCGTCCTTATCTCCCCTCCTTCTATTTTGTGTTTGTTACTCTCTTGTAACACCTCTAATCTTCCGCACTTATATGACCTTATGCTGTTGCAGGTGCCGTAAAACTCTTACTAAAATAAAGTGAACCGGAAGTATGCCGGAGTGCACGATCTAGGATCTAAATCTATGATTCCATTTGAGAAGTTTTCATTTCTGTAATAATATATTCATGATATCTGTTTTTCAGTTCAACAACTGCCTCGCCAATAACAACCCGCACGCATATGTGTTCAACGTAAGTAATTATGAGCACACTTTTAAGCCACGTCATTTAATTAGTTTCCTTATGTCAGCTTACATTTGTTTTATAAGCAAATTGACAAACTTTTAGTGAGTCTTAGACTAATTAGGTCTGAATGGTTACCTAGATAATTTTCTTGTACCTAAGAATCTGGGGCGTCATCTCAAATATTCTGAATTAGAAAAAGACTTGTTTTATGTGGAATGTAACTACTATAGTATGATTTTGATATTAGCCTAACATGATTTAAATTCGGTTCGCTATGTTACCGTTTTATGCAGGGAGCATAATATTACACAGGACGTCAGAGTTTTAGGAGTTCTCAGCTGGTCTTATGGTTTTCACCTCAAATATTTTATGTCAAGCTGTTGACTTTGTATAAGAATACATGTATTTGCCATTTTTTTTTCTGACCAAACATCTATCGTCCTCATCTCTCCTCTTTCCTTTCTTTGTATGTTACTCTTTAGTAACACCTCTAATCTTCGGCGCTTATGTGACCTAATTTGTTGCCGGTAAATTCTGAGTTTGATCAATTTTGTTTGTCCTTTCAGACTACTGGTGAACTCGATGTTGATATTTATAAAGGGGTAAGTTCTTGTGTGTGTGTGTGTGTGTGTGTGTGTGTGTGTGTGTGTGTGTGTGTGAGTGTGTGTGAGTGTGTGTGAGTGTGTGTGTGTGTGTGTGCGTGCGTGTGCATGTGTGTTTGTGTGTGTTTGTGTATGCGTTTTCTCTGGAAGATGTATGTACTTTACAATGTATATACACTATATACACTTTCCTCACTTCTCTTATAGAGAAATTAACTTGTTTTCTTTGTGCGTTTCTTTTCTGCAGCACACCTGTAACCATTGTCACTTATTTGACCTGTTTGTGTTGAAGGGCCGTAAAACTCTTACAAAAACTAACACTCCTCTTTTGTTTCCTGTTCTTCCAGGGAGTGTTCCTGGGTTGCCAGTTTGGCGCTGCCGCCATGTACGTGTGGGCTGTTGGAATCCTGGCAGCTGGACAAAGCTCTACGATGACCGGAACCTACACCGGACAGTTTGTTATGGAGGTAGGTCGAGATCTAGATCAAGGAAGTTTTATCTTTCAGGTTTTGCTTTTTTTTAAAACAAGTGCTTCGCAAGACGGAGATGGAGAGAGATGTGTGTGTGTGTGTGTGTGTGTGTGTGTGTGTGTGTGTGTGTGTGTGTATGTTTGTGTGTGTTTTGCACGCATGTGTGTATGTGTATGTGTGTTTGTGTGTGTGTGTGTGTGTGTGTGTGTGTGTGTGTGTGTGTGCGCGTGTGCGTGTGTGTGCACGCGCGCGTGTGTTTGTGTGTGTGTGTGGTGGGGGTGGGGTGGTAGAAGGGAGCGATGTTATTTGAAATTTCAGTAATCATCAGTCGCTGATTGATCAGCTGTGTTTGAGTCAAAGCGGATTGCCTTTTAGGGTACTCGTTTGTTTGGGTTTTTTTTCCTTGTCCTGAAAAATGTCGCAACCCAGGTGGTCTGACAGGAGACCATGTTCTTCTGTCAACAGCTCGCTACCTCAGATTTGCAAAGTTCTCTCTGACATTTTAGGCTGTTTTGAGTTACTAAGACCATGAGGTCAGAAACCAAATGTTTTATCTCTCAGTCAAAATCGTAAGATTATATGGACTCGTTATTAAGATATTTAAAGAATTTTTACATTTGTAAAAGCTTGACATGATGTGAAACTCTCTGATGTCAAATTTCTTCCAACGAGATACTAAGCCGGTAGACTTTTGTAATTCTGATGTAGCCAGCTGTTCTGTATCTTTTCTTTACTTTTACTTTTATCCGCCGCTTCTACCCTTTTGGGTGTCGCGGGAAGAGACGTCTCTTCCACCAGCCGTGTCTTTGCAAGGGCGGTAATTCAAACAAAAGCGAGCACCAGAAAGCTCAGTTGAGTTCAGTCCTTTTTTTAAATATAAAAGCTTGTCCGAAGTCCCTCACTCTTTCTGTTGTTGTTGCTGTTGTTGCTGTTGTTGCTGTTGTTATTATTATTATTATTATTATTATTATTAATTTATTTATTATTCCCCCCCCCCCCCCCAGGGTTTCCTCAACCTGACCTGGAAGCGATGGCAGAGAGTCCTCCTCACCCGAACCATCGCCATCCTCCCCACTATCTTCATCACGATCTTCTCCGGCATCAACGAGTTGACCCTCATGAACGATCTCCTCAACGTCCTCATGAGCCTTCAGCTGCCCTTTGCCCTGCTCCCCATCTTGACCTTCACCTCGTCCAAATCCCTCATGGGGGAGTTCAAGAATGGAAAGTAAGCTCTGAGTTTGATTACATCCATACGAGTTTGATTATATCTTTGAGTTTGATTACATCTACGAGTTTGATTACATCTACGAGTTTGATTACATCTCCGAGTTTGATTAAATCTGCGAGTTTGATTACACCTTCGAGTTTGATTACATCTGCGAGTTTGATTACATCTACGAGTTTGATTACATCTCCGAGTTTGATTACATCTACGAGTTTGATTACATCTATACTAGTTTGATTACATCTGTACAAGTTGGATTACATATATACAAGTTGGATTACATCTGCGAGTTTGATTACATTTACAAGTTTGATTACGAGTTTGATTACATATATACGAGTTTGATTACATCTACGAGTTTGATTACATCTACGAGTTTGATTACATCTACGAGGTTTTAAAAAACGTTTTAGTAGAGGTTTTACGGTGCTCGCAGCTGCATAAGGTCATATGAGCACCAGAAGATTAGAGGAGTTACAAGAGAGTAACAAACATAAAAAAGAAGGGGAGATAAGGACGATAGAGGTTGGATATGAAAGAAGGAGCAAACTGCACCCGAACACCTGCCAACCACCCATTCTTCAAGTTTGATTACATCTCTTATGAGTTTAATGCGATACTGGACTGGGTCTAATCCTTATTTCTTCTATTTTGCTTAAGAAATATTCTCCCCTCAACATCATCCTCATTGCCTTTCTCACCCTGGATCAGGATATATTCCACGATCAAACACTCTCAACCTTTCCACATTCTGGGCTAGTCGCTTGATGTCATTCCATATCTTCCCACTTTCCTGTACATACATCTATTTCTGTGACTTGTATAGGATTGATGTACTCTAAATACTAAATATTTATTGTATTTCAGAGTAATGAAAATACTGACTGGTGTCCTTGCTGTGGTTGTCATTGGGATCAACCTTTTCTTAGTGGTGGATTCCATGAAAAAGCTGCCACAGCACTGGGCAGTCTACCTCGCCATTGCTGTTGCTGTGTTTCTATATCTGGCGTTTGTTGTTTATCTGGTGAGTTCAGAAAATATGAGACAAAAGAAAGTAGATTTTTAGATGGTTCACTCACGTATATGAGCCTTCTCCGTAGTGCCTCGGAATTAATAGATTGAGTTTAGTCATCATCAGAGCTGATGGAAACTTTTTCAATTTGTTTCGCAAAAAAGAGATTCAGATACGTTTTTTAAACTATCTGTGCTTTGTATTCTATAAAATATGTAAACATAAGATATATCAGTATCGTTAAATGGTATCCTATGTGGAAAGATATGGTGGTTGCTTCCAGTGTTTTTTGTACACCTTTGATGAAACCTCTATCAAAAGTATCCAACAGAAAAGAGAACCATCTTGTAGTGTAAGTCTAGGATGAAACACTTTTAAATTGTAAAGTATAGGGATGTTATGATGGGTCAAATAAGACAATGCATGTAATGACCTGTCAGGTCGCTACAACTGTCGGTTATGCCACCTTGATTTGTTTCTTAAAAAAGAGATTCAGATACGTTTTTTAAACCATCTGTGTTTTGTATTCTATAAAATATCGAAACGTAAGATATATCACTACCGTTAAATGGTATCCTACGTGCCACCTTTCTTGAGTGTGTGCAGTTGATAAATGAATGAATTGTTCAACCATGCGTCATTTTACCAGGCTACACTAGGCTGGTTTTGTAATTGTCTGACTGGAGCTATGGGTAGGGTCATCAAGGTATCCTGTACTCCTGATGCTTAACATTCAGCCCTGTAGTGTAGGAAATAAGGTTATCCCTTTGCTTTGTGCACAGATTTCTTTGGAAATTCTTAACCAAAGGCTACAGGGAAGAAACATAAAACATTCAGAGCTGAATGTATCGCTTGTTTTGGAATAATTTCCTAGCTTTGAATTTTGGATGATGCTGAGATACCATTCAGATTGAAACTGTAAGAAAAATAGAAAGAACTATGCGTGCATGACACGACCTATAATGTTGTTCTTGAGCGAAATTCACTTGTTAAGTACATGTATTGATAGACCTAAGATTCGTCTACCAATAGTCGTGAAAGAGGAAGGAATAAGTCAGTTTAATGTTGATGAATACACATAGAAACGGAAATGTTCGCTATTGGTTAAACTTTTTTTTTTTTTGGTTATGTGTATAAGTATCAGATGTATTTCTAGATATAACAAGATCTATAATATTTCTCAATTCTCTTTTGTTCATGATCTTTTTGTCTGGTTCTTTCAGACCCTGTTCTGCATGATTGTGATGGGCTTCAATTCTATAGCAAGACTACCAGTAAGTAGAAAATTCATTACTTTTGAGCATTATTCCTAGATAGACACACACATGTAAAATCCCTGCTTTCTGTGGTAGATGCTGCTTTCCCAGGTATTCTGCTTTGGTAGAGGACATGAATACATCTGTACACCTAGCCCAGATCTGCTTAAAAACAGTCTTAGTCATCAACATACGGAGGACGCACAAATTCTGGTACTGCATTGGCTGAAAAAACGAAAACAGTTACAACTTTATTTATCCCCCATTGGATATCTGTGAATGAAGCGTACTGACAAAATGAGTTACTTCTTGGATTTAAGCCTTATGGAAATAGATACATCACGCTCACAGGTAAAGTTTTTACAATTTATAAGTATGAAATAATAAAAGACATGTTATAGTTAAAGACTATGGCATCAATAGAAATTCTACAAATGTTACCCTAGAGTCGATTTTTGGCCAACACCTCCATGATGTGGATTCCGAGAAGTAACTCATTTTATCAGCTCGCCTCACAGTCAATATGTTTCTTAATTGCATGCCCCCCCCCCCCACTGAATACAGTATGTAACATGCAGTATATAATGACAGTAGTATGCAATATGTAGTGTATAATGACAGTAGTGTGCAACATGTAGTATATAATGACAGTAGAATGTAACATGTAGTATATAATGACAGTTTCAAACAGCACACGTCGGTTGCCAGACACTGTGGTGTAGCGCTCTATTTCTGAGCCTTGGTGTATATGTGTTAGGCAAGGCACTACAGAGACTTTTCTTGACACCATATATGGGTTTGACGAGAGAAACCTTTCGTACCCTTTGAAAGAGTTCCCTTCTACAAAGCCACATGTTTAATTCCCCCTCCTCTCCCCTTCTTTTTAAGATTCCCTTTTCTTGTACATGTATATTATACATCTGCTGCTATACAATGAACAGAAAACGTTAGAAAAGATTGTATTGTTCTGTTTTTGAAAGTTTCAGTTTGTAGGAAATTTAGAATTTTGCCCGAGTGGCGGCCGGAGCCTTCTCTTATCGATTTTGGATCACTGAGTGATCTTTAACGTGCACAACTTGCACACGGGACCTCTTAGATTTTTCGACCTTTTCCGAGAAAGCTAGGAGTTAGATCTTACCTACCTTAAAATCAGGGATGTAGCTGAAAGACGATAGTAAGAAGAAGCCAAGGAATAGCAGTAGAAAGGCTGCAGAAAGAGTCAGGAGCTCAGAGGAGGGGGCAAAGGGGGGAGGGATGGGTGGGAGCAGAAATTGGAGATGAAAGAAGACGACAGAACATGGTTACAGAACAAGATAGGAGGGGAAAGGAGAAAATTTTAGATAAGAAAATTTTCAGTCACTGTCAGGTTTCGAACCAGGGACCTATTGAATGAGAGGCAATGAGTATGCTATAGAGCATGAATATGCGCAAATAAATGCAAGTATTATTATTAATTCAAAGTTTAACAGTGTCTTTGATGAATTATTGCCAGTCTTTCTAACGTTTTATCATTGTGTATTGTTCTCCACACATTCTGTTCCTTGCGCTTTGTAGGGTCGTCTTTTCTTCCTGACAAAGGATGACCTTAGAGTGTATGTCGGTGTAAAGACAACGGGCTATGGTCTACGTGTTTGACCGTGGGATTGTTCCCCGCTTTATTTAACAAGCATGTTGAAGCATTTCTCATTCCAGAAATGTAGACTTTTCTCGATTACTAATCTTTAAATGTACCTTTAACAGTGTCTGTTTTCATCTACTTTTTACCATTAATTAAATTTACTAAAGAACTTCTAACGAGAGACTGTGGCAGATGGTTGGAAGCCACCATTGGTACGCCCTTCACATTTGCTATCCCCTCTTTGGTTTCGGTCTGTCGATCTTGTCTTGTCTTGTCTTTCCCCAGCAATATATGACTACTATCGTGTCAGTGTGCTCTCAGCCTCTCTTTCTGACATATTATGACCACGCGGACACCCAACTCAAGTGCATGCACAATTCCAAGAAATATACTCACGCACACTTGCAAACACACACACACACACACACACTCACTCTCACACATACAAACACACAAACACGCACACACATACACACACACACACAATATGTTGTAAGATAACCCATGGCTTTTACTCGCGCAAGTTGCAAACAGTGAGTCTTGTACGATGATCTCGAATACCCTTTATTTTATCATTTAAGGTTTTTCGTAATACGGAAATAATGTAAGTAATTGTGTTGAATTTGATGTGCTATTAAGATGTCGTATACAGTCTGTATTTTAACTCTTTACTTGGCTTTTTCTGTTGTTGTTTTGTTTTGTGTTTTTCCTTAATGATAGAGCACGTTAGTTTTTTGTTTTTTTTTAAAAAATTTTTTTGTCAGCCAGTGAAGAATACTTTCAAATAAATTAGATCTAGATCTAGTGATAACGTTGCAGTAACTTACAGTTTAAGAATGGCGTCGTGCTTTCTTTCATGAAACTTAAATAAAGGTTTACATATTTCTTTCATAGAAAGCACACACTGCTAGTTTTATAATAAGCTGAACAATTAGAGAGATTTTCTTTTGTCAGAACACAACGTTTTATGTTGCTGTTGTATTGTAAATCGCCCAGAGCTTGTGTACTTCAATCGGGGTTGAGTGCTATATAAGTGTATTTAAATTTTTATTATCATTATTGTTATTATTATTATTATTATTATTATTATTATTATTATTATTATTATTATTATTATTATTATTATTATTATTATTATTATTATTATTATTCTCAGCATGCATTTAATGTTAGTGCTGACTTTATTGAAATGAAATACTGATACACATACTTCATGCACCATCTCATAATATTATTTGTTGAAAATGAAACAAGGTCTATCAGTTTGAGTAATGATATCTAATAATCCTTGAATCTCTATCTGAAAGAGTTACATGAATGTCGTACCAAGTATGAACGTAATACACTTTTGGACACTATCATACGCACTTTTTCCTACTAATCAGATGACGTCAATCTCATATAAATGAGCAAGGGACAAAAAAAAGAGTAATGATATTTAAAGAAGGATACCGATGCCAGTGTGTTAATGTAGCAGTCTGTTGAGACAAATATCTTCACACCGTTACTCGGCGCCACAGACTTTTAAAGTTTCGATCTTCTATAAATAATGCCCACTTTCCTCTGGAATCTATCAAACACGAAATTACGCCATTCTGTCATTTCTGTTTCTGACTTACATCAGTGTTAGTGAAAGGAATAAGTACATTTTTGAATAGGCCTATAAGCCCACGTGCTGCTCTTTGTGGTAATCGGAAATAGACACATATAGGTACATGTAAAGCGTGTTTGAGTTGACTATAATATATACAGCTTTTATTTTTATCTTAGATCTAGTTCTATGTATGTTGAAAACCTATTGATTATTTGTTGGTGACGGTGAGTTTGTTGGTTCTTTTTTCGTTTGATTGCTGTTGTATTTTCAAAAATATGTTTCTTGTGCTTTTTTTTTTTTTTTTTTCACGACTTTGTAAATTTGTTGTGCACTGTGCACTGTACTCATAATGAACTATTTGTTCTTTATCATTTTATTTTACTTACTTACCTCTATTCATTGCTCATGGAAAGCACTGTAAACACACAGTTTGTCCCCAGTTTATAACATACGAGCGTCGTCTTGAATCATTTTTATTTTACAAATTTTCTCAAACTACTTTCTTTAAATAATCACCAGTTTGGGGCACAAAGTATACGGCTGGCTTTTACACTGTGTAGACTTGAGATCAACATAGGAATGGCCAGCATACCTTACACTAGCATAGCACTATTATATATATATATATATATATATATATATATATATATATATATATATATATATATATATATATATATATATATATATATATATATATCCTCAATGTCTTCTGTTGTGCATGACAGAATAGTGGATGCTGTAGTCCATGCCTTGATGAGTACGGTGGCCTATATTATGTATAAATACTTATTACTTCGGTCTCAGTTGGATCTAATTGGTCACTTTGAAGCACAAGGGGGCTATCCCGAAAAATACTGTTTTGAGAAAACGGAAGGTAAAGTTTTTGCCCCTTGTTCAGTTTCTTTAAAAGACAAAGATAGTTTTATTTATAACCAAACAAATATACTCATGAAGGAAACCAAACTTCTCCTATAGATAGGGCAATGTCCAAATTTGGTGTAGGTCAAGATTTCTGGAAACCCCCGAAATCTGGGCTAGCCCGTTTGTCCTTAAAAGTGACCATAATATGTATAAATACTTACAACTTCGGTCTCAGTTGGATCTGATTATTATACGAGGAATTGTGCATGGAAGTATTATTTTGCAGTTAGCGTACTGGCTCGTATGTTTGCTAGGAAAAGACAGTAGGGATGTAGTCTACAAGTCTCAAAAGTATTTTTCCTTTTCGGAAATTTCCAAGATGTCTGCATGCTTTGTTGAAGCGATCTATCACATGTGAAAAATAAGGCAACAACTGTGTAAATATCAGGGAAAGCCAAATATCAATGCTCACAGTTTCACCTCACGATCTGCTTGTTAAATCTAACTACCGCACTCGTAACGTTGTGTGATTGTTTGTCAGTTTTTCGTTTTAACTGTTTTTTTCTTCTTCTTCTTTCTCTTTTTTTAACATTTGAAACATTGCTTTTTCGCGTTATATCGTCATGGTTGATATTTTGAGTCTCGTAATGGTCTCGCATTTAGAGCTGACGTGTTTCCATGTGTCTTTGGTATCTTTGATGTCTTTGATTTCTGCTCTCTCTCATTCTGAACTTGTTTCCTGGTCTATTCTTGTGGCTTAGCGTCGTACAACGGGACATTCTGTACCCAATCCAAGCATGTTCTCTTTCTGTCGTGGGTGGTTGGTTGACGTCATTTATTTGCAGTCTTTCTCCGGTCTTGTTTCATCTCTCTCTCTCTGTCTCTCTCTCTGTCTCTCTCTCTCTCTGTCTCTCTCTCTCTCTCTCTCTCTCTCTCTCTCTCTCTCTCTCTCTCTCTCTGTGCTTTGTTTTCGCTTTCTTCCACTTCTATGGATGATGTGGTTCTCTTTATCTCTTTCGATTTTTTTCGAGTCTCGCTTTGCGAAAGGTGAAAAACCACTAGGAGATCACTGCTCTTCATCTTTACACACCAGCGCACTGGTGTGTATTTGTGTTGAAAAATTCTATTTCTGAACGTATATCTCCATGATGGAAAATGAGCTGGACTTAGTAGATCTAAAGTCTCTCTCGCTGGCTGTTCTTCTCTTTTTTTTCTACTCTACCTCAAAGACCTTTTACCAGTCAGCTCAAAGTAGATCTTCCTCTAGAGCGTAGCGTCTGTGGGTTTTTTTAATTTTTTTTTTTTTTTTACTGAAACACCACTCAGATTTAGAATGAAGCAAAATTCATATTGATGAGCAAATTGTTGTGTCATAGCCTGAACATTCTCCCCTTGGCGCTCATATAACTTTATGCAGGTGCGGGCGCCGTAAAACCTTACTAAAACTAAAGAATCTGTAGGCTTTTTTCATACTTTTGCAGTTTGTGAGTAGTTATCGTGCGCTTTGGTGTGGTTTGATCCTTCTCTCCGATAAAGCGTCTCTTATTCTTTCTCTTCTTCTTTTCTTTGTATTATTAAAGCTACTCTGTTGTAACACCTAATCTTCAGCACTTCTGTGACCTAATTGTGTTGCAAGCACCGTAAAACTCGTACTAACACTAACACCGAACAGTGTCCAGACTGTAATGTCTCTGAGCTGACTGGTCCGTGTGGTGTGTGCCGTGGTGGTTCTGTGGTGCTGCTCCTACTGTCATGGCGGCGGTGGTCATTTCTGAACGAGGCTGTGTGCTTCCGGGTTGTCTCTTTAGCATAATACGGGTGCACACTACAGATGGGATCGGCCGATCGGCCCGATCGCCCGACTCGTCGTCTAAAAAACAAACGTGTTTGTTTTCACTTTCTGAGTTCAGGCGATGGAGTCGGGCGATTGGCCCGATCCAGCCGTAGTGGGCACCCCTTATAAGAACATTGTTCACTATTTGGTAAAGTCACTGAAATATTCCTGTTTCACAAGCTGGCTTTGTTTAAATATTATGTCCCTCAAGGTGGGGTATTGTACTATTGAACGGAGTTTTGTTATTAATAATATAATTTCTATGTTAATATTCACTGTGCTTAATCTTGTCTGTGCTGGCAGTCTTGAAAGTAGACATTTTTGTAGATTCCAAAATATAATTGGTGTTCGTTTGAAGAATCGAAGTATTGTTGATTGTAGAAAGGCACCATAGTTAGTGAGAGCCTTATATTTCAGTTCTGATGTTGTCCTGTTGCTGTATAGTTAGGATGGTATTTGCATTGTGTAATCCTATACTTACTCTGCCTTTTGAGTGGTGACGTGTCGTGTACAACAGGATTTAGTGTAAATTATTATGTTTCTTTTCTTTTTTGTTGTTGTTGAGAGTTTGGGACTTTCTCTTTCGTCCTAGCCTTGAACTAAGGGGGAAAACTCTTTGGGAATTATGGGATCCGCCCGAGAGAGGTGACCCTCAAATGTCAATGGTAGAGGAGGAGAAAAAGGAGGATGAAGAAACAAGAAAGAATGGTGAAAAAGAAGGTGGATTTACATTTTGCGAAAATCAAGGCTTGACAATGTACACAATTATATTATATTTCATTTCAGTTAGTAGATGTGGGTGGTTGGCGGGTGCTCTGATGTGGTTTGCTCCTTCTTTCCTTTCAAACATCTATCGTCCTGATCTCTCCTCCTTCTTTTTTATGTTTGTTACTCTCTTGTAACATCTCTAATCTTCGGCACTTATAAGACCTTATTGTGTTGTAAGTGCCGTAAAACACTTACTAAAATTAAAACTAAGTTACTAGATCTATATTTTCTTTCATGACAGGAAGTTAACCTCAACACATGCTAAATCAATTCTAAAACACTCTAGTTAACAGACAACCTCAACACATGATGCTAATTTAATCCTAAAACACTCTTCTCAACAGGCAGTCCGAAGAATTGTCGGCCCCGCTTCTTGGATGATGGAGTCCGACGAGTCTCCCATCTCTGTGGACAGCGCTGACGGCGTCAACAAGGACACCAAGTCTTAAGTGCCGGACTTGCTCAGTCTAAGGGAGAGCTCAGCAGTCTGCTACTTTGCTGGGCTCATATTTGGTGGATTGAGTGAGGCGGACTTACGCTCTACGCATTTACCAACTTTTCTTTACGTTTTAGAGAAGCACGTCTATTCTGTAATAGTAACTTAACGCGGGGAAACGGCAAGATGGAGAGATGTATGAAGTGAGTGATAGGAAAGAAAGAAGTGAGCGATAGGAAAGAAATAAGCTTTGCCTGGTTGAGCCCTCCAACCACCCAGTTAATAGACCCCACGATGAGTGCCAATAGAGAAATGCTACGCAAAGTCGAATAAGGTAAAGCGTAATTTCAGCTCACTATTCACCATTAGTATGCCCCAGGTGTAGACATTACTGATGCTCTTCCCACTATCTTTACTTTGTACATATTCATGACATGAATGAACTCATGTTTTCACTTTGGCAGCAGTTGAATGGGGGATAAGTGTGTTCACACTGCTGCTGGTCCGATGCTGTGATAACTGTTGGTTCAGTCAGTCTCTCGTGCCTGTGGCTGGGTGCTCATACCAAACGCTACAGGGCGAAAACGGTAGAGCTCGCTCTTTAACTTTAATGTAAATTTCCCTGAACGGTTGTTACGTCATTATTCGCCCGACTTCTGGTTTAGTACATGTATGCAAGGGGTAATCATTCCAGGGGAATAATTGAACTTTTTGAGAACACGATTTCTGGACATTTTAACAATGCCTGAAGACACTCTGCTTTTTGGGCACTCTAAACAAGAAGAACAACTATAACAATTATCATTTCTTTTTTTTCTTCTGAATCTTCAAAAAGCAGCCAACAATACGCGAACTATGAAATATATGCACATATTCGTTTTTGATTTATGTGTTCTCCTCTCGTTGCTTTACGGCAACACAGGATGAAAAAGTAATAGTAGAAGTAAAGATTTGTGTGTTATGGTTCGGAAATGTGCCTCATCATTGGTTGTGATCATTTGCTAATCGGACATAGTGTGTCCGTTATGTCCGTAAAGAGCTCACGTGTTCTATTCGTTCCGTCCGGTAGCATTTAGCGTGGACATCCTGGAAGGCGGAGTTTGCTTTGTCAAACGAACATTATAATCGGAGAGTTTTGATTTTAAAGCAGCAGAAGTTTTGGAGTTGGAAAAAAAATTCAGAGATTAGAATTTAAAGCAATACGATGTATGGTCATGACCGACTTGATTTAGTTTTGCATTGATGACTCTTGCTGAGAAGGGATACATGTACTTCTATGTATTTGCAGTGCGCAAGATCTTGTTTCTGAGCAAAAGAAGCAACATATGTGCGTCGACTCTTTCTGTCATAAATGAATAGTGCTGACATGGAACTAGTTTGGCTGTTGCCTTTTAATGAAACGTCTTTATTTGTTTTGTTGTTGCTTTCCAGCCATGACAAACCTTACCACGCTGCTTTGAGTTATTCATCCATACGGTCGTTTAAAAAGATAATTGGATTCTTGAAAAAAAAAAAAAAACAGTTCTCACAACCTGTGATGTCTGCCTCTTGATTTGTTAATGGAATTCCGATTCAGAGTATGAAGTAGGTTCATTTATCTCACACTGAACCCTAAACAGCCAGCTTAATGAAGAATTGAAATATTTTTTTAAAGAGCTCAATCTTTTGGCATGAAATGGTCAATGGTTGACACATATATAACAATATATGTCTTTGATTGCTTTAACCGTCGAAAAAACTGCGAACGTTCTCGAGCTCTGCTTTATTCAGACGGTGCCACTTTTCATAGTGAACGCGAGTTCATTTGACAATACGCAATCTATGAGTGCGGTTCTGATTGTGAGTCATTGCGGTCTTTCCAAGATTTTATTTTGCTGACGTGAAAGTGTACAACAGATTTTTTATTTCTGATGATAGATTTTTAATGTGTAATTCACTTTTAAACTGGTGTTTTCAGAACAGAGATGGCGATAGAATTAGCTACGTAAGA